GTCATGTTGCTAAGTAACCAATCGATCATTATGTCATTCTGAGTGAAGAGCGGTGAAGGGGAGGTAACACAATTTATTCATGGATGTAGAAAACCTGTACTTCTTACATCCCTTTAAAGCGATTGTTGAAGCTGTAAATTATTTGACACAACTGAATTTCACATAAGGTTCAATATAAACTAAACTAAAGATCACATTTTGTTGTTACGATTAGCGCGCTTCAGTAGACGAAATGCACCATGCAAAGGGTTGAAACAGTGCACGATATAGATTTTTTTTAATATTTATTTCTATTCTACTTTGTACTTTGAAGGCCAGTCTCGGATTTGTTTTTTAAATGTGGGGCCTTTAGACAATCTATTTATAGTCACAAAGCGGACATAAATTATGTTACACGTAGGCGTTGATATAAACTCATTTGTCTAAGTACACAGGTGCCGTTCGGAATATGTACCAAATCAACGGGTTGTGGGGAACATGATGTGAATATGATGATTGTAACTGTCGAAACACCGTTGATTGCCGGTGTCTGCCAGAAATGTTTATATTTTTTAGTGTCAACATAGCACAGTGTTTATGCAATGCATTGTTTTGTCCACAAAATACATACTCTTCTTGCATGGGAATCATATGTCTTTTTTTAGATATTTTAATCTAATTGTATAAAGCTTGATTTAAAAAAAAATGTTCTTGTTGTTTCCATTTTAATTTTGCATAATATTGTTTTTTTAACTAAATGCTGGATTATATTAAAATGTAAGTTTAATATTTATAATATTTGAATTATTAAACAATGAATTACAGAATGATAATGCCACATTTCTCCTTCTTTTTAGAAATGTCTACCGTAACAAAATTCAGAATTTATAACTACATTTTAACAATAACTGTGTGTATTTTCAATGTTGTAATTGATTTAGTTAGTATTTTTTTTCTTCTCAGATTTATTATCTTTTTTTTTTCATGATGGTTTTAGTTTTTGATTATCTACTACCGCTAATCTGTCATTGACAAATATAGTGCGACATATTTTGTTATAATCGAAAGAAAGACTTTTGTTTTCTCACATACATTTTTTCTAATAAATAAAGGCCAAACACATCGACAAACTTTGATGACATTTTACATATCTGATTCTTACACAAGATTGATTCTCTTTCAAACATCTTTGAACTTTTCTTAAATATCAGGTTGTAGATATGCTGTCGGAAATTATCCCCAGATCACATGTCATGGATTTCAATTTGGAGTTGTTCATTTATGATATTGCGCACGTGGTAGCGTTCAGAACTAATACAAATTAAAACCCTTTCATCCCCGGAAGGTGGTCATTCATGCCATATGAAGGTTATTTCAGTCTAATTATATACCAACCGCTGGTACTATGGCACTAACTCGGATTGAAACTTCACTAAGTCACGTGATTTCTTGATTGACCAATGATCCATAATCTTGTAAGTTCAGTGGATCGGTGTCAAATGATGTCTCCCTGGGTTGGTTTAACAATGTACTTAAAATGTCATTAAATCCACACGGACAATAAACGGCGCCCGTCGATAAAATGTATAACTAGCACTGTTACAAATATCGGTTAGTTTAATGGATTAGAAAACCCCTAAAAATCAGAAATTAAATAGTTATAATGTGTAGTATTTAAGCGTTGACTATTATTGGCAATGTTCGGGGTTTTGTCTTAGTGTTGACAAATATTTTATTTTAAATGTTTATTTAATTAATTGTTTTTCTAGTTTTATTAATATATGATTTGATGTTTTAATGTACTTTTATTTATATGTCTAATTATTCATTTATTTATTTACTTTAATGTGTTTTTGTGTAATATATAGCGCGTTCATAAATAGAATATTTAATACAAATATGACACCAAAAAACCCTCGACTTACCAGTTTCTTTCTACAACGAATTTTTTTTTTTATCTGTTTATATAATTTAAGCACTGTTTTTATTGTTTTTATTTTTATAAAAACAGTTCGATTTTTATTTCTTTTTATTTTCTTTAGCATTAATAATTTTGTTAAAGTGGGCTTGAAATGAAGAATCAATCTGTCAGGGCATATAAGACATTTTGCATTATCTTTGAAAATCATGGTAAGAAAAATCATAAAAAAATAGAAAAGAATCAAAGGAAATGCATAGTAAAATGTAACACCATTGAAAGAGACAAAAAGTATATATATTATTATGTGAAATATTTTTAAAAAGGAAATTAATGGATGCAAATAGGAAAAATATTTAAAGTTATTATTATTTTTTTAAAATTATATAAAATATTCAGAAATATTCATTTACCATTCAGTTGAATATAATAATAAAATGACCTTTCATAGAAAAAATATGTGATGTTGTATTACTTATATATATAATAGGCTATGTTACACCATAATGTCAGTAGCAGCAATGTAACATATTATATGCATACGGTTTCTTCCTAGAATATGCTCACAAAGGTCAGTACATGGTATTTGGGGAGAGACTCAGAAAATTGGTCTGATCTTTTACTTTGGACATACAAGTTACATTAGACATTTAATATAAAGATGTGAAAATGTCAGCAAATGTTAGCGTCAAGGACCATTGTATATAAACCCCTCTCCTTTTTCCATCCTTCCAGAATTCGGAGAGAATAGTATTCGCAAAAAGATCTTTCATTTGAACTAAATATGTTTTATACATATATAAAATTACTAAAATATACTTGTGTGAAGTGCGCATGTTAAATAGACACAAAATATTATCAATCTGGACTAAGCAAAAAAAAAATACTAAAAGAAATATATCTATTAAAAATGTATATTTTGAACTCATATCTCCAAATAAAATTAAGAATTCATCAAAAGGCAGAAAAAAAGCAATGGATATAAGACAATTCCGTACAAGAGCATGGGAAATACACGTCTTAGTATACCAAAGGATTGCATGGATTATATATACTACTTTAAGGTTCAAAAATAACTGACAAAAACATACTAAAGACGAAATGATGATAAAAATGAAGATGAATTTTTCCAACCTCTTTGGACATACATGCAAGACAGAATTTAATTTAGCAAGATATCTTCATCAGGTATGACAGAGTGATAATGACTTGCCGTCGTTGCACCGTCAAACTCAGTGCCTTTCCGAAGATTTACTTTTTTTCGTTTTGCTGGGACAATTTATACAGAATTTAGTTTATACAATTTTTATTATGATATTTAAATACTTTATCATATCCTATGACGTTTTTACTGTAATAATTCATCTTAAAGTATATTGTTTATTATATATTTTTATGTTTTTTTATATTTATCTTTATATTCCTTTATATTCTCTTTAATATAACTTGAAAAGTAAAACAAATGTGATTTAAAATATATTTAAGTTTTATATAAGTCTTTTTTACTAAAAGGGTTTTGGTCAGGGAAGATAGAGTCGTTAATACGAGAGAAACTAAAAACAAGAATATGTGATAATAAGAACGCGGAATTTAAAAATATGTTAAAATGTTATCAAGTGTTAATATAAAACATATTTGTAGATATAAATAATATTCTATATAAATAAGCATTAGAAAGTGTATCATCTCCAAAAAAGAAAACGTAAAATAAATAAGAATTCAGTGAAAAGTATTATAAATTTAGGACTTTAAGCATGTTATTAAAACATGAATTAAATCTTAACATTTGTTGAATTTTGTACGTGTGTGTGTGGGGGGGGGGTCTTTGTTATTTATTTGTTGTTGCTTCATTTTATTGTTTGTTGATACTTCTTATTTTTTAATGAATTAGTGAAACTCTAAACTTGCCATTGAGAATAAAAATAATACATTCATCACAAAATTCACATGGCATACAAGTAAATATTATCACATGACATCTTTTGTTTTTATAGTGATTTGACCATTTGAAACGTGAGTAATATTAATTTTTGTGCACGAGAATTTACTGCTAGAATAAACTTAACTTTTACTGTGTGAAGCAAAAACAAAATTATAAAAAATAGTATACAACAATTGAAGAAATGTGCCACTATTTAAATATTTCTTTACCGTGCGCATTTTTTTCTCATTGTTTTCTTTTATATTTTATGCGGCAACAAATAAGAGCAAATACAAACATTAATGTATGTATAAACTTTACATATTCACAATAACATATTAAGACATTAGTGCCTGACATTCTCAAAAATATGGTATGCAATGTTAGGTTTTCGATATATGAACCACTTTTGTACTGTTCTGTACAATTAATATTTTTTAGTTTAGGACATAGATGCGTGTGTTCTGCATTACGTTTCACTGTTTCTTTTGTTCTCTGCATTTAAATAAGAACCAAAAAGTACGTACGGTGAATGCAATGATTATAAAGACTTAAACTATAATAATATAACGTTCAAGAAAAGATTGGGGTAAAAATGTTTGGTTTTTATTTTCATATGAAAACAGCGTATTAATATTAAAGCATTTTAACATAACACACATTTTATAAAACGACAGACGTATACATGAAACAATCAACATTATTCACGCGAATATCGTGCAATTAGCAAATTGCTTATCGTTCTTCTCTCAATGGGACTCTGACATTTATGAAAAGCCTGTATGGAAATTGGCAGCAATGAAACTAATATGAACTATTACCATTATGGGACATTACTTTTGACTCAAACGTGAGACTTTTCTAAATGTCAACGCATGTACAAACATATGTTAAAGAGAAAGGCTTGAGCGAGAAATATGCTAAACTTGTTGCAGAAGTTACTCTCATCTGTGAACATGTACTTTTTTATGTTTTATTGTTGTTGTTTTATTCAATTTATATCGCTTTCCTTATAATGTTTTTACACTAAGTTACCTTTAGAAATTAGTGCCAATACTAAAATAAAGTAACTAAAATAAAGAAAACAAATGAAAGATAATAATTACTTTTATAAATGATAAGTGTATAAACTAGCATATAGAGGTATACATTGAATAACATAACAACTAAAAGAGCTAAAAGTCAATGTAGCAATGTAGAATATACAAAATGTATGAAACTTATACGAAATATATTCAGCAACAGCAACTTTCATGACCATTTGTGGAAAGTGTAACAATGAATTGACGCTGTTTTAAATTAGGATATATAACATCTAAAATTGACTTTGTATATCAAAAATATAATAAAAGTTTTAGCTATTTTTCTTATCCCCAAGTCAAGACATCATGTTTATTTGTTTGATTTGTTCTGTTTAAAATGTACTTTCATTCTCTTAGACGCAGCACTCGTTATGTTATCTTTTACATCTTAATTTGTCAATATGATTTGATGAAGTTGATATCAAATGGTATAAAGCAATAAAATAATTGTCTTAGTATTATTTTTTCACAACCGTGACTGATTATTTCCAAGTCATTGTAATTAACTCCCACTCACTTCTCTTCGCTAAATGGATACGAGGCTTTCAGCCAATCAGATGTCAAATATGACATCGTTAGAGCTGTAAAGACTTGTATCGCATTGAATATTCATAGGATTATGTTTATACATGAGATTTGTGGTCGTTCTAGGAAATCAAAATTTACAAATGTCCTGATACAGTAAAGTACTGATTAACTATTCAGCGTTTTTATTTCCATGATCAGTGAGTGTTTAGAAATAGGGTTTAAGTGTATGTTAATGCACGTTCAATGCGTATGAATAAAAAAGTGTTACATACAGGAGATTGGAATGGAAATAGTGGTCAATCTGTAAAAATGTTAGCTACAATAGAAGTAACCATGCATCCATGTAGATTTGGGGGGAATGAAAATAACGAGTATTATTCTAAATTTAAACATTCCGAAGAATATGGATATTCGAACGAATTTAATCAGAGAGGTAAGAATTAAGAAACCAAGGAGTGTGCTTATTTCTTTCTTTCTTTCTTTCTTTCTTTCTTTCTTTATTTATTTATCAATTAATGTATTTATTTGTTTATTTATTCATTATGTATTTATTTATCAATAAATGAATTAACTTATTTATCAATTTATTTATTTATAAATTAATGTATTAATTATTTAATTAATTTTATACTTTATTTATTAAGTTAATTAATTTATTTTATTTATTTATTAATTTAGCTTTTTATTCATTTATTAAGATTTTCTCTGGTATTCGTTATCGATATATATTAAACCATGCAGTACAAAGGATCCCATCATTGTTTACATTTTCTTCGTGAAATCAACACAAAACAATGCAAAAATATAATAAAATATCTCTGCACTAAAATAACTTTAGTATAAAAAAGAGGAGAAGTTGATGATTCACAAAAGAAAAAGCAACAAAACAAATGTGTGTACTTAAATATTAACTTAATATTTCAATCAGAAATAAAATACGTTCAATTTTTAAACAGTTTATCTTGCCATCAAATAAAACAATTATCTATGAACAGTAAGGGTGACAGTATTAAAAGTAAACCAATCATATATTTATTGATCATGAATAGCTTAGTTCAGGTGTATTTCATCACACATTCCGTATAAAATTGACAAATTTCGCCAATTCCCGTAGAAATTTGGTCAATTTAGTCACAATGCGTACATATTTAGAAAGCGAACAGAACAAAAAAATCTTGCGTTAATCACAAGACAAATGCGTCAAACAGTATTGAAAATGACGCGATAAGTCAAAACTTGTACGTGCTTTTTATGGATGATTCACCAATTTATCACGTGATAAATAATGTTGAATCAAAAATATGTCCAAGAATAGATAAATATCTATATATTTTTATTTATATTTTAGGTTTATCTTCTCCGGACGATTCGTCGCAGCAATCAACAGCCACCCTGACGAGTGCACCTAACACAAGCCAGGAACACGTGCATGTGACGTCATCAAATCGGCCGCTTATAAGCACATGCGCAGATAACTCCATGTTGCTTTTACAACCACAGGTAATATAATAGAAATATGCTTAGGTTATTTTGTTCTATTTAGTTTCAAAATCATTTTTGATTTTTTATTTACGTTATTATGTAGAAAAAATTATTTTTGTTTTTGTTAAATTGATCTTCGAGTCCTATTTGTTCTTAAATTATATTAATTACTTGTAAAGTATTATGCATTCATATCCTGTACATGTTAAACTTTTCCAGCAATTTTAGAAAAATTCACAATGAAAAAGATAAAAATTAAAATTACAGATTTTAAATCATTTCAATAAAGTTTCAGTTTACAGAAATAAATTCAACTGATCTAATTATTTTATGTGTATTAATAATTAAACGCATGTACTTTGATAATTTGCTTAATCATTTTCATCCAAAGTATACAAAAATGTTCTAAAGCCTTATGGACAATATTGAAAATGCCAGACAAACTGTTAACCCAGCAGGTTTTAAGCTGTCATTTAACTGAATAATGGTCACTTTAACTAAATTAACACGGGCGATTAAACGTTTATAATTCTAATTTTGAGGCGAATGTAAACCGCAATTATTTGAAATGGCAACTGCATCTGATATTTTATCATTAGATGAAGTTTGTAACCGTGTCTGATCAAATGATATTAAAGCAAGTCTTCTGATTATCATGGTTCTGTCACACAGACAGTTTTGGGGCTAATGCACGTGTGTGTTTTCACAGAACTCGCGAAATCTTGCGAAATCACCGCACGCGCACACGACCATGGTGATCGCGAGCGTAAGAAAATTGTTATTACTGAAAGTAAAATTTTCACAAAAATGTTCACCATATGTTAGGACAAACTGTTTCTTGTCATTGAAAATAATAAAATTGTAGTTGATGATTTATTTGTTGGGACATCAATTCCTCGCCTCAGTAACAAAAGTAGATCACGACAGAAAGGACGGGTTTAAAATTCTTAAATTGATAAACGACTTCTCCGATTCTTGCACCATTTTACTTCTCTTGTAACAAGATTGACAACAATGTAATGTGTAAAAAATGGTTGGTAGTTTTCAAAACTAATTAACTTGCATGAATTGACTTCCAAGTTGCTCACATAAAGGAGCTTGACTAGTGAAACCCCTTTTTCTTTTGTCTTCCTTCCAACAAGTATTGGAGCAGTTTATGATGATTTGATGAAAGTGAGAATAGATATAAATAACTGTTCACGAAATGGCTTTGTTTCGTTCAAAGATGCTAATTAAAGTAAATGTGCCGCACGTAAAAGAGACATGAAGTCATTATGACGTCATGATGGCGTCATTAAACTTGCTAAAGTTGTATCTCCATAGGTACTATTAGTATATAAAAGAAATAAATGGTATGATACCATAACATTTTAACTTTTCCATTTAAGACTTATAGATTGTATTTTTATTATTATTATTGTACATTCCAGCCGACTTATTCTGGCCCTACAACGGCGACGTGCGAATCATACACGAACCCCCTGCATCCAGGGGGAGCTGTAAGTTCAATAGGAAGTGCAGACATTGGCGTATTTCCTGGGTCAACGTTCAGCATGGCATTGCAGGTAAATATTTCGGTTGTTAGGTGTTAAAATCATTTTTTTTTAATTTTCAAAATGATGAAATAACCTTAATTTTTTCCAAAATAAACATGTTTATTTTATGTGATTCTTTTAATTTTTATTTAATCTATTTATTTTTTATTTATTTATTTATTTTTTTTAATTTTTCTTTATTTATTTATATCTCTATTTATTTTCTGATTGATTTATTTCATAGTATTTTATTTATTTATTGAATTTTAATAACAGTATATCACTTTAAACATTTAGTAACAATTGATACATGTATATCATTTTGATTTATTTCCTTTCCAATAATTATTGGTGCCAAAAATTATTGCGTTCAACTTTATGTAGTAACTAAGGGCTTGTTGAAGATGAAATATTTTGCATAAAAATATTAGATAAAGCTAAGATAATTATGGAGTTCAAATGTACTTACAGGAGCTTCAAGTTGACACGGGAAGTTTCACAGAAGACGACTCGTTCCGAGTGTTTGATTTCTCATCACAAGACACTGGCTCGGGATCCTCGGCATTTCAGGGACACACACAAACTCCAACATTTACTGAACCATTCAGTTATGAAGGCACCTTCATGCTTGAAAGAGACGTCAGCAAGATGATGGGTCTATTTCCCGAAACAACATCACAAATGTCATCTCAGACTTCCAGTAATACTCATAAATATATAGACACTTCGACAACATTTTCAGACACACCGTTCAGAGGCGGATTTACATCGAGTGATCAGTGTATTTATTCCAGTCATCCATACGGCGAGCCGCATAATTTACCACAAACGCACAGTCACACCCCACCAGAAAAGTTATATCAGAGGGACTCAAATGTCACCCAAGCATCCTTCACGTCATCATCAGAGTCACTTTCTCATGGAATGTTTCAACAACATCAACAAATGCAGCAAACATACGGTGATCCATCGACGGATAGTAAATTGAATATCAATGTTAATATATATCAGTCACAGCAGCAGCTTCCTCAGGCACACTCACGTCATCTAGAGGAATCAGCCATGCTTAGGCGTGCAGATTCCCGCCAAGGCAGCAGGTACCCGTCTTACGGCTCTTACAGTCAGCCATTCTATGGTTCCGCAGCAGCTTTACAGGGATCCGAGCGTCAAGGCATGCAAGCTATGGAAACCGGGTACCAGGTAATGGGGAGAAGTGGGCCAATCTTCCACACGGATTTACCGGTTTCAACTGGCGGGAGACACTTTGGTAGAAGACCCTCCCTCACAATCCCTATGCCACCACATACACCTGAAAGGTAAATAGTTTTTTTTATGTTGCTAATTTTGTGAGCCATCATTCTTACTGTAGTTTTCTTTATTTTTAACTTTTCCTAATTTTAATGCCTTTGTCTATTCGTTTATTCTGTATTTTCAGAATAACAAATTAACTCTTTTGAGACACATGTCATGCAAATTTTCTGCAATGTTGTTGTTATTTTTTTCTAATTTTCTGAGAAGAGTTTTGGTGTTTCGTCCAAGAGGTTTCAAATACACCATAATCGGAAAACATTACACACATTTAAATGCTTTATTTTTTTGTGTTTTTAGCATCGAGCTACAAAAGTACACCATACAGTCACCTAAAACTCCTACCACACCTAGCTCGACGAGGTCTTCCCCTGGTCGAGATGGTATGCAGAAGGAAAGTCTATTGTGCGCAGTGTGCGGGGACAACGCCGCGTGTCAGCACTACGGTGTCCGAACTTGCGAAGGTTGCAAAGGATTTTTCAAGGTTCATACCTCTTTACCTTTCTGTTTACGAATTTTATGAAACATAAATGATACCGGTATATTAAAAAAAGCCTTAAAATGAAATAAACTTAGAGTTTTGCTTAAGCCGGTGCTAGGGAGCGGGGACGGTATCTTTCAATTAACTCTACCGTTCATAAACAGGCTCAATCCGACTGGGTCTGCAACATTTAAACTGGCAATCAAATATGTTATCTTTTTTATCTAACATTTCAGTTTTTAATATTTTCATGTGTTTAACGATCTCTACTTATTTAATTAACAGAGAACGGTACAGAAAGGTGCAAAATATGTGTGTTTAGCTGACAAGAACTGTCCTGTTGATAAACGAAGACGGAATCGGTGTCAGTTCTGTAGATTTCAGAAATGTTTAGCAGTGGGCATGGTTAAAGAAGGTACGTTTCTTAATTTGGTTTACAATATAAAATTGAACGCTTACCAGGCTGAATTTCTTTTAAAATGGACTTGTACAATCACCATTTCTTCTGTGCTTTTGGTATTCGTGTCTTCAGATTAAATTTACATTTACTTCCAATTTACCCTTTCCTTGTAATCTCTTCCATACCTACAATAAACTAGGTCAAATCATACCACTTCAAAGCGAGGTCAATTCATACCATCTCAAAGCGCATTTCAAAGAATAAATTTATATTCAAATGTTGTTGTTGTTTTTATCGTTTTAATGTTTAAACAAATTATAGCTCACCTCATTTTTATGTATTCTCTTTTTCAGTTGTGCGAACGGACAGTTTGAAGGGAAGGCGAGGCAGATTACCATCGAAGCCAAAAAGTCCACAAGAGGCGCCACCGTCCCCACCGGTCAGCTTGATAACAGCCCTTGTAAGAGCGCACGTGGACACTAGTCCTGACATTCCAACACTGGACTACAGTAGAGTAAGTAATATACTGTACAAAGACACTCTTAGCTCAATCTAAGGAAGCTACCTTCCTTACGAGGCGTCGGTGGCTCTACTCAGGTGTCATTTCGTGCCTTAAATTATTCACTGAGTTGCATGTAACAGTTAAGCTGGAAAGTCGCCAATTTACCTCCTTTGACTTGGTGCGACGAAAAACCAAGCCAGTCTTTTATATTAGTGAAGCAATTTTCTTCTTGATGAATATATTAACAAATGATAAATGCTTACTAGCAACTTTAGAGCAAAAAATCATTTTTACTTAAGTACATTTGAACATGTATTTTTATTGTCATATTTACTTATTTCAAGTGATTTCTTCTTTCAGTACAAAGTGCCTAATGTGGATGATAGTCCACAGACGGACGCCGAGAGTATCCGAATGTTTTATGATCTCCTTATCCAATCAATTGATGTTTTACGTTCATGGGCAGAAAAAATACCCGGGTTTTGTGATCTTTGTAAAGAAGACCAGGATCTGCTCTTTCAGTCAGCAACAATGGAACTTTTTGTCCTCAGGATGGCGTATAGGTTAGTATACAATCAATGCATATGACCGACTTGTATTCAAATGTCATGCACGTTATTATATTTCTATACATTTAATACACAATATGAGTTTTATATAAATTCAATGCACAGTATTAATTTTTTATAAATTTAATGCATAATGCTTATTTTTACATAAAATTAATGTATAACACTCCAATTCAATATACATTTAGTACACACTTTGCAAATGTTAAGTTCATATTTGTGTCCTAAATAGTTGTATTACCCTAAACATGGAATTTTTATTGAGTATGCTACCAATTTTAAACATCGACGACTTAAAAATAAACTCGCAAAAAAATAAGTCCAGTACAAAGCCAAAGACATTATTGCATTAACATACATGTATTTAGCACAAGCAACCCACTACGGATCATCGCACTCACATATATCGCACCAATGATGTTTCCAGAATTTAGCTATATATATTTTGGCTTCATCAACATTGAATAGCACAAACATAGAATACAAATCATTTTGTTGTAATGATTGATGGTAAATTTCAGAATCCAAGCCAATGACGAAAAGATTGTTTTTGACAATGGAATAGTTCTACATCGGCGACAATGTTTACAGATGTTTGGAGAATGGATAAATTCCATTGTAGACTTTGGTGTTTCCATGCACAGAATGACTATAGATATATCATCACTCGCCTGTATGGCTGCACTATCAATGGTCACATGTAAGTAAACATTGTGTTTAGACATCTATTTCGTTTACCATTCACAGTGTTCATACTATTTTTGAAAACAAATTGCAACATTGGAAAATCCAAATGTTTATATCCGTATTCATATTCGTTCATACATAGAGGTTGAAATTATGTTCATACATTGAGGTTAAAGTTATGTTTGTAAGTTAGATGTATAACAAATATATATATTTCTAACTTTGTATTTACAGTAAGACATGGCCTCAAGGATGTCAGGAAAATGGAAGAGCTTCAAATGAAAATCATTGACTGTTTACGTGATCACTGTACTTATAATAGCGAAGCCCAAAGAAAGCCAAACTTCTTCTCGTTAATACTTGGGAAAATAGCTGAACTTCGGTACGAAACTTTGGTTGTTTGTTTGTTAGTTTTCATGGCTTTTACGCAAATTTTAACACATTGGTGTTCATTTCTGGATAACTAGCTAGTAAATAACCTATTTTAACAATTTCTAACAATTTCAAAACACTATATAAATGTAAGCCATTGAATGATAAAATAACGAAAATTAAAAAAAAAACGCAAAGCATTCAATAGTATGGTCAAATATTTATCTTATGGTCATATATTTTCAGGGAACGTATTTTGTTTTGATAAAGTAAGATGTTCTTTTATTTGGTTTACATTAGAAAGCCTTATTCATACTTCGTTATTTTTTTTCAGAACACTTAGCCGGGAAGGGCTTGAAAGGTTGATTTACTTCAAACTCGAGGGAAGCTTTCCTACACCACCAATTATTGAAAGCCTATTTCATTCCAGTCAGCTCCCATTCTAGAAGTCGCCTCTTCAAATCTGCATGATTCTTCTGTGACATTGGTCTATCGTATTGTCGTGTGGCAACTGACATATTTCATACACAGTGTCTCTGTCTGTTGTATATCGATTTGTGACGTAATTTTGACACAAACTTCACACAATGAATAAGACAAACACATAATATATCCAGACCGTGTGACAGGAAACTTATTTTTTCTACTCAGAGTATCTCTCATCTTGGCGTTAACACTTTGGTTTTCGTGAGCTAAAGTGGCAGATTCACTTAAGCTTTGCTTTATTATAGAAACGTTCTCACGTTCTGATGAATTTCAGTATTTACATGTGTTTCGTGTATATGGATGGACATAATATATACAGTGTTGTACGGTGGATAATCTGTTTTCCCTTACAACCTATGATGCAAAGAAGCATCTTTAAAAATAAGACATTAAAACATTTAGTTTATTTATAGTTTAACAACTGAATGACAGTTTAAGAAAACTATATGATCTAATATTTGATACGGTTGTGATGACGGACCACTTATCTCATTCCCCCAGCACACATGAGCACACACGATTATGGACACCCATTCCCTTTCCTGTTTTTCGGCGTGCTTACAGTATAACAATGATTTCTTTTTAATTTTTGATCACGTGACTTATTGTTGAAACTCAGTTTATTTTATTTGTTGTGAAGGTACAATATTGGTTGCTTTGAGAATCGGAACTACATGATAAAAATTTGCCACCATGGTTGATTACCAAACGCTAAGGCTTTATGGATTCTGTGCTAAAATGTTAAAAATACGTGTACAAACTGTGTTCGTTTTCGCTAGTCATTACTTGTTTTTATTTATTTATAAATCAGTGATGTGTACCAAGTATTCATGTTTTCGGTTCATTTTGTTGTTTTTCTTCATTTTTTATTTTTAAAATTGCCTATAAATTTGAATACCTGATACTTTTACCACCCTTTTTTGTCTATTGAATTAAGGATGTTTTTACGTAAAACAAAATACCCTTATAAAATAATGATGATAAATGATAATATTTGTAAATATATGAAATTTTGACATTGGTTTTAAAGTGCTACAAATGTATTAAGTTTTGACATTTTAGAAGAGAAAAAAACCAACAATTATTTTGAAATTTCACTGAGGCGTGAGTATAAATAACATTGCAATATTTTACTATAGAACTTCGATAATTTTGGGGTTGTTGATTTTTTAACATAAAAATCTGTTTCCATAGTGAAGAAATTGCTTCAAAATTTATTGGTTACATACGCAAAATTTATTTTAAAAAATGCGGAGAATATATATATTATATACATGTACATAATTAAAACGGACTACTTTTGTGAATTGATATATTTTTGACTTTTTGTTGTTTTGTTATTATTATGTAATACCCTGGCTTTCGTACATCTGTAAATTGAGAAAAGTATTTATATATTATGTATAGTTATATTTTTAACAAAATGAAAAACTATTCCAAAGAACATGCTTTATAATATAGTGCTATGAAAAATGTGCTGTGCGTCATATTAAGTTTATTTATTATTTTTGCCTAATTAACTGTAAACATGTAACAATTTATTTCAGAACTCATTCATTTTTATTTTAAGAACTTATTCATTCATTATATATTCATGTTGATTTTAATATTTTGTTTGTTTGATTATATTTTTTTTCTTTTCATTGTCATTTACAACTTTAAAACATTCTTCTAACATTTTTTCCGGTGATTACTGAAAAGAGATAATCTTTATTCTTGTATTTATAATATCTATGATCCAAATATCAGTATATTTTTATATTTATTCCAGTATATTCTGTAGCCAAGAGCTTTTAAACAAACGCATTTTGTACTCTATTTTAAAACGCGATGCTCGTGTAATATATTTTCATTTAGCTTTTTTTTTCACACACTCAGAAAACAACAACATTTTCTTATTGGACATTATTTTGTTTAAATTATGATATAAAAAAGAATGTTAATTAGAAATGACTTACTCCTGACTTAAAACGTAACAAAATATTCCTTGAAATTAGTTTTTAAAATGAATCCATAAAATAATATTCAACTTTCTGACATTTTCCCTTAAAGCACGAGCGTCATTTAATAGAATGTGCAGGTGCTATGTTCTTCAGTTCTTCTGTATATATTTATATATATTAGTATATATATTTTATTGCCAAGTCAATACGGCACAATTTAGTTTAGAAAGTGAGACACTCACATACACTCCCACGTATTAATAGTAGAATACACTTTGCATTGTAAACACTTACGGTTAATCTACTTCCTTTCGATGAACCTTTGTAAACAGTAATATGTTTTTTTTGTTTTAGTCTAACATTAAGCTTTTGTAAACACTTAAATTTATTCGTTCACACTTTTGATATAGAAACCCTCGTAAATTCTTATTGAAAACATGAGAAAATATTTGGGATTTTCAGGTTGTTGTTTTGATGACCTGTTTACTTAATGCAAAGTCTGTGCTATAAAATGATATTGAAGATGAATACCACCACCTATTCCTTAGTATCTACCACGAATCAATGATCTTTTTAATACGCTGTATACTGTATGCTCTTTAATAAATCAAACTGTGATAAAAAAATTTTTTTTACAAAATATGTTAATACTGTGAACGAATAACTTTCAAGAAATCAATATTTGTGTGACATGCTTAATCTGTTAATCTGTCAAATAGTTTTTAAACGCAACATGTTTGTTACCTTAAAAATGGTTTAAGTTTTTAATTTATGTGTGCCATGTTTCTAATCTTTTGAAAAAGAATAAGCTATAAGCATGACACGTTTGTTTAAACAAACTTCTTCTTCTCTACCACAGCGTTCTTACCACGTGGTTTGTTGTTTTTTCCAAATAAAAAAGAAATAATCTCAACTCTTCTTTTTCTTGTTATTGTTAAAACAATATATTTCCTCGCTACTCATTAAAATTATTTCTCAAATATGTTTGTTTAAAATAATGTGCAATACTTATAAGACATTTAAATCTACTTATACCCATTATATGCCTAAACTATGCATTATATTTGACATTTAAATAGATTTAAGTGAAGATTTGATAGGCTCAACTTTGGCCTAGTGGTAAAAATATGAAAGTTCAGTCTCAACTATAGAAGTTTTATTTTTAGGCTCTACTGTGACAAAGTTGTAAAAAATGCGGGTTAAAAAATAGGCTTAACTATGAAACAGTAGTTAGAATATAATTAAAGTTTCAATGATGGTCATATATGACAAATTGATTGAATATACAGGTTTTATTTAATCATAAAAGTTTGTATTATCATCGAATATAAATTTAGAGGTTTTAGTTAGCCTAACGGTTAAATATAGAAGTTTTAATCGTGCTCATAAACGGCTAAATGGCTAAATATGAAGACTTAAGGTAGTCTCTATAAATTTAGTTAGGTTACTGTTTTGCCTATAGATTAGGCTTACACATTCTTGTTAGGCTAACCACTCAAACATGGCCTACTTTACAGGAAAGTGCAAACGTTTTTTTAAGTTATGCTCATTTCTGGCCTTACGAATTTTTCTCGCAACAATTCATATTACTTTAATCAGATTTATAATTGTGTATTTAATTGAGTTTGTTTTAGTATTTGAAAGTTAAATGTACTATTAAATCAATAAAATTAACATATTTATCATATTTCATTGTTAAGTTGATAAGCATTCATCGATTCACTGAAAATATATTGTTGTATGTGTCTCACACTTTCGTTATTTTAGTTATGGTACAATATTGATTTGTAAAGTGTTACAGTATAATAAATGAAATAACATGTGGAATGAAAAGTTACAAAAGTGTTCATGTCTTATCTATTTGGTTTATACAGAATTTATTTAAGTTCGATTGTGTAGGAAGCTATAAGCTTACAGACACACTTTCGAATCCGTTCCTGGAACCAAACAGTACTGAGTAATGAGTGTAAAGTTTCTTAACTAATTTTAGATATGAGAAATTTGCAGAAAGACTTGTTTGCAATTGTGAAGAAAAAACGATAAATGTAATTTCTCCGTGACAATTTATCTTGTGGTGGACATTTGTCTCACACCTCTGGCTCCGAAATATTTTGAGACTGTCCTTTGCAAAGAAATTGGTAATTACTGGTTAGTTATCCAGAAAATACGGGTATGTGGATCAACCGTCAGAACCAGAAAAAAACCTAACATACAAACAAAATCCCAGAAGATGGCGTATGGCTTTTGAGAGAAGCTTTTAAATGTAATGCTACAAATGGGAGAGAAAAAAATGGCAGACCAAACGCTGTTGCAATTAATACAAAGAAATATCACAATTCATCTTAATATTTGGCTTAGAATAGAAAGTTCCTATCAAGCAGTAATGAAGTACATGTACAAATATATCCTCCATAAAGAAATAGTGGAAATCAACCTAACAAAAATAATTTTATATAACAATGAAACAATTGCTGAGGTAACAATAATTGAATACAGAGTTTCTTCTAACAACTTCTATTATGAAACTACTACTTAATTGTAGTGGAAACTCTTAACAATACTAGTATTTGAGACAATGTTCAACTTTTATATTACTATCATAAAAATACAAAAGGATATAGAATTAATTTTAACAATTTTATATTAAAATCAAAAACTTGCAGAGGAAACACATTAGATACAGAAAAAAAACATTCAATAATTTCTTTAAGAAAATCAAATAATTACAAAGGAAGCACCTTATGTGGCAGAGTTTTCACACAACTTTTATTGTATACGTGTACTCTTTCAGTTTATCCCCACTTTAGAATACAAGACGAAAACTAACGTTTAAATCCATATATTTTACTTTAAGATTGCATGACTAGTTTACTCTCTACAATAGTGTCCAAAAAGTTGCAAATCAAAGCATATATCTATATTAAATTGTTCTCGCCAAAAAAGTATGAAAGTCATGATTTCGAGCAGACATAAAGAGTAATGTTTTCCAACCTAAACTGTATGGAGCGAGCTTGTTATATAAGAAACATTTCGAGCAGTTAAGAATTATGGAGCAATGTCAACAAGAACACAAATTTGGGCATTAATATGACAAATCAACGAATATTTCGTGGAATTCACGACACCTTATTATATTCAGAGCAAATTGTAACCCATTTCTATCTATCAAATAATGAATCCATTATATTAATTTCTATATAAAATGCAAAAATTTGTAAAGGAAACACCTTATTGAGTAAGGAACACATATCACTTATTTCTATACAACTATCAAATAATTACAAGGGGATATAGAACAAACTTTCGATTTCTATATATAAATCAAATTCTTTAACAAAAAACACTTTATTGGATACAGAACAAATTTCAACAATTTTATATAACTATCAAATAGCTGCAAAGGAAACGCCAATTATACAATGTCTAATATATATAACCATAATTTTACTAGATACAGAACAAATGTTTAACAATTTCTATATCATAATCATCAAATAACTGCAAAATCGGATATAAGATACATTGAAAATTTCTATAATACTATCAAAACATTTCAAAGGAAACTCTTAATTATATTTAGAACAATTTCTAACACATTTCTTTATACTTATCAAATAATTACAAAAGAATATAGCATTGTTTTCAACTGTTTCTACATACAAATCAAATACTTGCAAATGAAACACCTTATTACATAAAGAACAAACTTTAACAATTTTATTTAACTATCTAATACTTGCCAATAGAACTCGCTATTGCATACAGAAGAAATTTAGACAATTTCTATTTAACTAGTAACATTTACAGAAGAAACACCATATTGACAGCTAAGGAATCAAATTTTTTGGATACAGAATTATTTTTAACAATTCCTGCATAACTATCAAATACTGGCAAAGGATACACTTTATTGGAAACAGATACATTGACAATCCTATTCACTATTATATTCATATGGGACAAGGGGGGTAAAGTCCAACCGAGATAACTATCGCGCTTTACCATTGGATAATCTGATATTATTATTCCAGCAAGTGATTCGCTAATTGGTCAGAAACGAACAATAAGTGTGTTCGAAAACAGTCGGCGAGAGTCAACTCATATTATATATATACACAAATTTATTATTGTTTCTGTAAAGATTCTGTCAAATTCCTATAGGCATTTGATGACTGCTAATACAAAGAATAAAAAGGAACGTATATGCGACGTAAAGTAATATTCACTTACTAATGTTTTTAACTAAATTTAAAATATATAGTAATCTAAAATAGAGAAAAGCGGTATCCCAAAAGAACGCCGTAAACGACAAAATTGAAAATGTTTCAAGCTGGATTAGTTGAGCTGGTTCCTAGATGGTACTGACCGTCCTTGTCCCATAGCACCGGCTTAAGCTGAATTCAACATTTAATCATGGTAATTACTGTACCAGCTAAAGTTGCTAGTATACAGTAATAACTAGCAATTTTGCAGAAAAATAATGCTTGTTGGAATGAAAATATTGGTAATGTGTTGGTTTTAAGACAATGTGGATGGGCATTACTATATTTCAATTATTGCTCTAATATGTGTATTAAAAGTTTGCTAATGTTGCGACTACTGGGTGAAGCTAAGCTAATATTAATAACATGAAATACAGAATCTGAGCTAAAAACCCGGGATACAAAAATAAAAAGAATGGTAATTCACTCTGACTTTTGACAATTTTATTTAACTATCCAATACTTGACAATGGAACTTTTTAGTGCATACAGAAGAAATCTTGACCATATCTAACAAATATCTATAAAAAGAAACACCATATTGACAGCTAAGAAAACATTTTTTGGATACAGAGTTATTTTCAACAATTCCTGCATAACTTTGAAATACTGGCAAAGGATACACTTTATTGGAAACAGAACAATTTGACAATCCTATTCACTACCATATTCATATGGGACATATGGAGTAAAGTCCAAGAATCGAGATAACTATCGCGCTTCACCATTGGATAATATGATATTATTATTCTCAACAATTGGTTCGCTTATTGGTCAGAAACGAACAATAAGTGAGTATGAAGAAGAATTTCGGCGAGGTTTAAACTACGAGAGACCACAAATGCTAGTGGCATTGATTTGACCTAAAATGTGTTTGACCTTGTTATTTATACAATAAAATATCAATATATTAAAAAAAAAAGAATTAAAAAAATTTTTTTTCACTGTTATATTATTATAGTCTATAATAATATAACAGTGAAAAATTTTTTTTTTTTTTTTTTTTTTTAATATATTGATATTTTATTGTATAAATAACAAGGTCAAACACATTTTAGGTCAAATCAATGTCACTAGCACCTGTGCGAGAGACAGCGTATTTTATACATGTATACATTATTTATTAATTCTATATAGTTTCTGTCAATTTCCCATAGGCATTTGATGACTGCTGATACAGAGAATAAAAAGGAACGTTTATGGGACGTTAACTAATGTTTTTTTAACAAACTTTATATATAGTTATCTAAAATAGAGAAAACGGTATCCCTAAAGAACGCCGTAAACGACAAAACAAGAACGCTGTAAACGGCAAAGTTTGAAGAGAATGTGGATGGGCATTACTATATTTCAATTATTGCTCTAATATATGTGTTAAAATTTGGCTTAAACGGTTAAATCTATACCAAAATGGTAGGTATTACTGTCTATGCTTCTTAATATTGCGACTACTGGGTGAAGCTGAGCTAATATTAATAACATGGAATACAAAATCTGAGCTAAAACCTGGAATACAAAAATAAAAAGAATGGTTAATACAATCTTGACAATTTTTTATATGTATTTAGCAAGTATTTAGACACATTTTTGGATACAGAATTATTTTTAACAATTTCTATATAACTTTCAAAGACTAGCAAAATTTATTGGCAACAGAGCATTTTGACAATCCTATGATCTATCATATTCATATGGGACAATGGAGTAAAAATGCAAAAAAAATGCAAAAAAAAAAAAAGATATCTATCGCGCTTTACTATTGGTTACTATGATATTACTATTCTCAGCAGGTGGTTCGCTAATTGGTCAGAAACGAAGAATAAGTGAGTCCGAAGAAGAATGAAGATAACGTATTTTATATACACATTTAATATAGTAATCTAGAAATATACATACATATACATTTGATTACTGCTCAAACCTTGGAACCCTCTCGAATGTTTTTAACTAAATTTATATATATAGTAATCTAAACTGATAAAACGGAATCCCTAAAGAACGCCAAAAACGACAAAACTGAAAATGTTGCAGTCTGGATTTGGTTGAGTTTGTTCTTTAGAGGGTACAAAAACGGCAAGTTACCGTCCTCGCTCGTACCCCGGGTTTAAGGGCGAATAGGGGTAAAGGTAAAATTTTTGAAAAAACCCGAAAGAAGCTAGTTTTTTACCCAAAAGGGTTTTATCAGGGGAACCCTTTAAATTTCAATGTGAAAACGTCAGAGCCATTTTCCTAAAAAAAGCCCCCCGTTTTGGTCCCCAAATTTAAAAAATGCGTGTGCCCTTAACGAGAAAACAATGGAAGAAACTAAATAAATGACATATTTAAGAAGCAGGCAACTTATGCTTAGAGTGATTTTCGGGTATTCAAATAGGTATACTACAACCACCCAAGTTGAAATGCGTGAAGGCCACCACGAATTAACTATTTTCATTATACATAATATAGGCACACTTACAAAGAAAGAAGATCAATTTAAATGTTTATATACTAGTAAATGATTTGATCACATATTGAAAAGATATTTGTTTTCATTGAATATTTGTCTGCGATTGTAATGATGAAGTTACTGATTCCTGATAATGTGTTTGAATTTGATACCTGTACCTTCAAAGAAAGACAGATGTTTTAAATTTTTACATCTAGTTAAAACACTGTTATTCAAATCAATTTACAAAAACAAAATGCTGTACATGGATTCTGAAATGATGGTAGAATTAAGACCAATAAAATATGGTATTATATAGAGACGATGTACCCTATCTTTAATTTATCTGCGCATCGACTTTAAATTGGATATATACAATATGCGATCAAGTATGTTTTTACTAACGCGTTTTTCTGAAATTGTAGAATAAGTTTCCAGCTAATTCTTAAAAATACCTTTTGCACGTCAAGATGACATCATATATAAGTGAAAAATTATTGTAATTTTCATTGAGAACAATAGTTTTCTTATAGGGAATATCGAGTTTGTTCTGTCATGGATCGGTGCGAAACGGACGTAACTCCTTCATTATGTAATATGAGTTACAGCTGTTTCGCACCAAACCCTCGACAGACAACAAGTGCATTTTAATCTAGAGTATGTACAAAGGGAACCTGTTATATGTTAATTTTTGCAGAAAAATAATGCTTGCTGGAGTGAAAATGTTGGTAATTAATGTTTTGGTTTTTTAGAGAATGTGGAAGGGTATTACGATATTTCCATTTTTGCTCTAATATGTGTGTTAGGATTTGGCTAAAACTGCCAAATAGTTGGTATTCCTGTCTATCCTACTTAATGCTGCAACTACTGGGTGAAGCTGAGCGAATTACCTTGGCTACAAAAAAAGTTAATTCACTCTGACTTTTGATAGGCAAACGGCTAGGTATTGAAAATGGAATCTTAACCATTTATTTCCTTTTTTACAAAGCTTGAAAGACAGTTCGTCGCAAAATTTATTTTCATTTAACTATATGAAACCCTATCATACAAACTGTATAACAGTTGGAAACTAAACCTTCTGTTTACACTTCTTTAAACAAATATTGACAACATATATTTTCATTTATCGAAACTGTATCTATATTTAATATCACGTTGATATTGCAATGCACCCCTGACTTTTAATAACGTAATTGCCCATCACCGCTGTTAGTTCGAATCCCGACAGGGACTTGGGATTATTTCATGTGAGGAAGCTATCCAGCTAGCTTACGGAACGTCGATGGTTCTACTCAGACGCCCGTTCCTACCTGAAATAATGCACGGAAGTGCACCTGAGGTCTTCCCCCACCAGTAAAGCTTGGAAGTTGCCATATATGACCTATACTGTGTAGATGCGACGTAAACCCTAAACAAAAAAAAACTTACTTGCATGCTGTATTTTGTTCTATTTAATTATAACACATGCAAATTACACCATCATCAGATACACGTACTTGATTTGTATCATGAGACCATACAAATTAACTGACATAAATTGAAACCTGAAAAAAAGAAACTAAAACAAATTATTACAATTTTCATATAACATTATAATAACTGCAAATGAAATACGTTATTGGTTACGCAATAAAATTTTAGCACATCATGTTACACATTAACGTATATATTGATATGTTCTAATGAAATCTTTAGTTAAAGTTCATAAAAAGTCGCAGGATACGCAGATTTTAGCGCGTCAATTGTTGCCTTGGACCCAAAATATTGTATAAAAAAATGTGTAGTTTACAATATTAAAAACATGCTTAATTTGTTCACATGAAAGCATTAATTGTACCTTTTACTGTGATAGTTATAAAAATTGTTGACATATTACATAGTCCAGTGTAATATATTAGTATTGTATAAAAGTGCATGTCTGCTGCTTTTTTCTGTTTATTTGTTGATATTGTTTTTAATTGTTTTTTTATTTGTTTGTACCTTTTATATATATATATTTTTGATGATTTAAAAAAATTTAAAATCATAAAATTAAAAAAAAAACAACAACAACAATTTAAAGAACATACACTTTATTTTAATTATCACTTTTTTGTATTGTATGTTAAAAAACCATAAAGGCGACGTTGTATATTAAGTTTATTACTTAAATAAACACCACCTTTCCTGAAACCCTACTTTGTGCTAATTTATGTCTTACCAACGTAGTCTGCCAATGTCTTTTTTACATTATAATACCAAATCAATTCTGTTAATATTCAAAGAACAACACTTTTTATGGTAATTTTAGAGCTTTAACTGGCAGAATTAACCCCACTCCCCAACCCACGGGTGTACTTCCATGTATCATTCTGGCACGGCAAGTCGCTTAATAGAGTCATATCGTTCTACTACAAGTTTGTCAAAATACTTTTATTAAGCAAGCAAATTCTACATCTCAATCTGTTCAATAGCTTTATTATACAAACATATACTACAGTCTGTCCTGTAGTATCCATACAATATATGATGATGTAGATATATGTATCATGTTACATAGCCACTCTATAGCAGATATTACATGCAATAATAGCTTTATTATGCATACAATTTCTACATTTTATGCTGTCCCAATATAGCTATTAGCTTTATTTCGAATTACAAATTCTACATTTCAGGCGATTCAGATAGCTTATTGTACATGCAAATTCTACATTTCAGGCTGTTCGTTAGCTATTTTATGCATACAAATTCTACATTGTGTCCCAATACCTTTATTGTGCATACAAATTCTACATTTCAATCGTCGTTATAGCTTCATTGTTTTAAATAAAGTTGGCACACGTTTTCTTAAGACAGTGAATTGCAAATTTGTGTTCTCGGGCATTACTTGAGTTCTGTATATTAAATCGGAATGTACTCACGCCTCCAGATGAGCCAAAATATTTCAAGAAATTCAATCTTTAGAAAAATGTATTAAATCTTAAGAAAAGTAAAAAGATTCAATGTTTAATTAATTATTTACGTGTTATGTGCGATTAATGACTGATTTTGCAGTATCAGTCACTATAATTATATTGCGTTACTGATGCAGTAAGGGGGTTTTATGTATGATTTTACTTCTTTTTGGTAATTTACGTGGATTTTAAGTGCCGTTTGCAATGTGTAAATTACTTTCTTTGTTCACTTCACAGTATTTTACTTTTATATACATTTTCAAAATTGTCATGAAAATTAGCATGCATCTGGAGGCATGCTGTTTTCAAGTACAAAAAAGTTAGTATTTTGACTTTTGACAGAAAGATCTTCTGTCCCAGCCTATGTGTAACGTATTGGTTCGAGCAGGGTCTTTGTCAAAATTAAACCGGAAAGGTACGTTGTATAACTTTACGGGACGGTACGGAACTTAGTAGTAATTGTTGAAGAGTTGTCTCCCTTGGAACCGGATCCCGGATCGTCTATAGTTTTCGCAGAATTTTGTAATCAGCTGTGTTCAAATCGTTACATCTCATGCTACATGCTTCTTTTTCAATTTTATTTATATTATATCCTAAAATTGTATTTAGGTTCAATATCTTTGATATTTTGATAAGTTGTAAACGACCTACTTTTTACCTGGCGGATGTATAATAATATACCGATACACAAGCTTGTTCTAAATTTAGTAATTTATTCTTCCGCCAACGTTATCACCTGTAATTCTGTTTCGGATTTGTTGACAGGTATGTTTATTAATTATGAGTATTGAATGCTTAGTTTATGATTGACAAGGATAGATTTTATTGACATATACACCATAAGTAATTTATTTGCAATTGTCATGACAGGTGGGACTTGCTATAGCTTCATAGAGGCGTCCATACACACCCAACATGTATTCTGAATTATGTATTCATGCTCCAATGAATTTCTTACTTTTTCAAAAACTCTGTATGATAGAAATCTTACAGAGCCGCTAATCGTGGAAGAATTTCTGTTATGTTGCTCTTTGCTAAAGAATCTATTATCAGGTAAAATTTGTCTTTGACTTGTTTATCACTGTTTATCACCTTAAATTTATGATAATTACTCATGCTGAGTATACCAATATAGAATTTTGAAATATACTTACCAGACTGGAATCTCAGTAATTATCATTTTATATGTATTATATATTTATATGGTATTTATTTTGGTTACATGTGCGATTAAAAAACATGTTAATTAAGTTGATTATGTATAGATAGATCTATATATGGTAAACATTGCAAACTTGCATGTGTTTTGTTTTGGAAATATCACTATCATGGCATTAACTAAAAATCATATGGGAAAATAATATAATAAAGATTGAAATGATGAAATAGCTATTTCCATTGTATAAATTGTCTAAAAGATATAGATCATTTGAAGCAACAGCATTGCATGAACACTGTTGAAGAATTAATTGAACTTTAATTATTTAGTGCCTTTTTGTATGATGGTAGATAACTATTCCAACTAATTGTACCGTGCGACAAGATATTGTGCTATTTTGTGTCTGGGCAGTATCTTGCCTCTAGAGATTATTACCTCTAATTTATTTCCTTTATTTTCCCTTCTCTCTTTCCAGATGCAACGTGTACATAACATGCAATTACCTTTACTTTGCTTCATCATTTACTTATTATAAGATTCTTACCCAAAATGAAAATATCTTAGAATCTGGCTTTGGCACGTCAATATATTTTGACTAGTAGATAAATTACTTAAGCAGCATCTCCATCAAACCTGTTTCCCAAAAAAATCTTTTTTTTGGGAGGGAAAAAACCCTTTTTTTTAACCCCTAAAAATTTCATGCCCATGGTTTATTTTGCCTCCCGGCATCAAGATTGTTAAAACATCAAGAGCATCATGAGCAAAGGTCTTTATTCAAATTGCCATAATTCTTTTCCTACATACTTTGAGCTTATAAGCTCTTAAATATTTAAGTTGCCCAGTGATCTTAAATATTTTGCAAAAACCCTTGTATAAAGAACTTGATGAAATTGTGCACGCTCTTTAGGATAATTAATTATAAATATTTCTGTAGTTTATTGACTATTCTTTTGCATCATATTCAAATATACAGAAATTTTAAATTCTTATTTTTTTGATGTGCAAATTTTTAAATAATTCTGTTTTCATTTTTCCTGTTTATTCATTTTTATTGTGCAAAATCAGACTAAGAAGTGAAAATAACTCTAATCGGGCCATTTAGAATCGCAAAGGACATAGATTTTCAAATATTTTTAAGTAATTTTTATAAATATATATATTTCTTTATTATCTTTTTCAGATTTTTCCATTTTAAGCACTTCACTTAATTGTTGAATGTAATCATTTCAAATTTTATATTTTTGGACCTCATAATAATGTTGACAGTCCCTTTAAATCTCAGCTGAAGACTAAAGACGGTTCTTATATACAAAATGCTAAAGATTATTTCACTAAAATTCAAGCATTTTACCAACCCTGCCCTTCTTATTATCCCAGCCCTGTATTCCAAACCTGAGTCAACACGTCAGCCACAAAATTTTCACACCCCCAAAAAAAGACATTCAGAGCCAAACTGAGACACAACAACAAAAATCTGAACTTTCCTGCCCACTCAATCAAATTATTAATGCGTTATTGTCTCTTATACGTCAGTTTTTGACATATTTCTCAATCACATAATGTTTATTATATGATACACACATTGTAAAAAAATCACAAATTTCTCGTTCGATCGCCAAGACCTATTTATAATAATATTTCATATCTGTTGTAAAGATATACATTCATATATCACTGTACTTTATTTATATTTCACTGTACTGGTAAATTTTTACTGGTCTACTATAACAAATTTGATATTAAATTTTGCATACCTTGCAAGTGTGTAAAAAGTGACAAATATAAAGGCGGAGAAAGCCGTTTTAAGTGCATAAAAAACAAGGGAAATTTTTTTTGAAAAAAAATCAACTGAAATTCACGTCTTAAATTTGTCACCTTAAATTTAAAAAGGAAAAATTTTTTTTTAAATAAAGTTTTTTTTTGGGGGCTTTTTTTTTTATACCTTTGTAAAAAACTTTCAAGTTAAAACCTTTTTTAAATCAAAATTATAGGGTAAAAAATTATTTTACCCTTAATTTTTGCTTTTTTGAATCCCCTTTTCAAAAGCGTGAAATTTTAATTTAAATTTTTTTAAAATTTAAAAATTTTTTTTTTTGTGCTTAACCCTTTTTTAAAAAAAACAGTTTTTCCTATTCAAAATTTTCTTTTAGGGACAACAGTCAATTTCCTTGGGCCTGTTATGATGGCTTTTTCCTTTTCCCATACCCAAAAAACCTTCAAAATTTTTACAAACCGGGGAAGTTTTTTTTTTTTAACAAATATAAATTACTTTTAAAGATGAAATTTGGGTAAAATTTAGGTAATCAAATCTGTTTACATGTAAAATACCTTGTTTTTGGCAATTTAACAGTTTTTTAAAAAAATTTATTTTTTAAGAAATAATAAAAATAGGGTTTAATTGTTTTTAAATTTTTAAAAATTCAAAATTTTGAGACTTTTTTCGGGGCCTTTTTTTAAAAACCAAAAAGGTACCCTTTTTTTTTCAAAATTAAAATAAAAAATTTAAAACCCTTGCAAATTGTAAATTGCAGTTTACATTAAATTTATGGGACTTTATTTTTTTTAGGCTTTTTTACCTCGACTTTTCTATGAAAAGGGGACTACCCTACCGCCCCCGGTCGGGTGGGCCGTGGGGCCCGGCTTGGGGGGGTTGCCCCACACCTTTTTTAATTTTTTCGTACCCCCCACTTTATTTCAAAATTTAAAATAGGGGCTTTAAACTTCCCTATTGTTCACCATCATAACCCCATCTACAGAAAAAGTACAAAACTCTGTCAATTTTTGGGAACAGAATTATCCCCTTTTTTTGACTTAAAAAGGTATTGAGTTTGGGTTTAGTTTTTTTTTACCACCTCATTTTATTTAAAAACCATTGGGTATTGTTTAAAAACTGCCTACTTTCCCCTCACGACCCAAACAGAAAAGGGGAACAAAACTCTGTAAAATTTTTTTGACGGGAATTATCCCCCTTTTTGATTTAAAAAATACTTAATTTATGGGAAAAATCCATTTATTCCCTTTAACCCTTTAGATATTGTTTTGAATTTTTAATTTTATTCAATCTTTTCCCCCATCTGTACAAAAAATCTCTTTTCAAGTTTTTAAAAATTTTTAAAGGGCCCTTTTATCAAACTTAGAATCTTGGTTTTTATCCCAGTCCACTTTTTGACTGAACTGTTTGACGATATTAATTTGAAAGTTGGAATACTTGTTTACAATTCATGGATTTCCCAAACATGTCCAGGAGAAGGGTAATTCTGTTGTCAAAGATTTATTGTTTGAATTATGCGCCCTTAACTGTCAATGTTTTGTATTATAGGCAAGCACTAAAAAACTTAAAAAAATCCTAAAAAAAATTTCATTCCTATCCACTTGTTCACTTTACCATAAAATTATGTTCATAATAAAATAAATTCTTCACTAAATATCTTAATGGCTCATGGCCATTTTCACCTTTAAAAAATACAGAGATTTTTGTATTGCCCTTTTACTGCAAAAAACTTTTTTTATTGGGCAAGCAATTTTAAAAAAGTCGAGCCTGCGCCTTACGGAAACATCTTGTCTAACACATTAATTTTAAACTTTTCACCACTGGTAGCTTTAAATTTTAGCCAGTATTATAACTTAAGAAATTTATTTACAAATGATAGCATTAATTGGGCTATTAAATTTTCAATTGAAAGGACCCTAGTGGACCCATCAATTGAAAAACCCTAGTTGGACCCATTCCAATTGAAAGGGACCCTCAGTGGACTCATTTCAACCAAAAGGAATCCCCACAGATTTTAAATGATTTTGGTCAAACATTGGTGGTTTTTCCATGTCACTTTGGGGTAGAATTGTTTTGGGCACCAATGTGTTGGATTCATTTGATCAATCCCCCAGCTTGGGTCAAACCAAAGGACAAAGTCAAAGGTAAAATAGAAAATGTTTCAGAAGCCTCGTTTGGAAATGGCTAAGATTTAAAGGGCATGTGAAGAGGAACTTTTCCAATGCAATTGGAATTGAATCTTATTTCCCCTCCAATGGAATTGAATGACTTTTTCCCTCTCAATCAATGAATTTGATTCTTATTTTCACTCTTCAATGCAAGGAATGAAATCTTAAATTTCCCTCTCCAATGCAATTGGGAATTTAATTTTTTTAATTTCACTCTTCAATGGCCAATTGAATGATCTTTTTTTCCCTCTCAATGGAATTGAATGATCTTATTTCCCTCTCAATGCAATAGAATGATCTTATTTCCCTCTCAATGCAATGGAATGATCTTATTTCCCTCTCAATGCAATGGAATGATCTTATTTCCCTCTCAATGCAATGGAATGATCTTATTTCCCTCTCAATGCAATGGAATGATCTTATTTCACTCTCAATGCAATGGAATGATCTTATTTCCCTCTCAATGCAAAATGAATTTGATCTTTTTCCCTCTCAGTACAAATGGAATTGATCTTATTTCCCTTCCCCAAATGAATGGAATGAATCTTATTTCCCTTTCTCAATGGCCAATGGAATGATCTTATTTCACTCTCAATGCCCAATTGAATGATCTTATTTTCCCTCTCAGATGCCAATGGAACTGGTTTTTGATTTCCTCTTAATGGCC